ACATTATTATGTGATTGTTGATTATTGAATTCAGTGCAAAGATGGCATTGAAACAAAACCTATCTAAAACTAGTTTCAGAAGAGTTCTAATCTGAAACTAGTTTTAGATTTTTTAAAAAAAATTAAAACACTGAAATCCAAAACCCTGAAACTATAATCTGAAACCCAAATCTAGAGCTGTTACCTGGGTTGGCTTGACCCATACAGGTCAGAATTTTGATGGGTCATGGGTTAAAAATTGGCTTGACCTGGGTCAAATGGGTCAGTTAAATGGACAGATAGATAGTAATAACCAGTTTTTTCCGATGTAAAAAATGAATGAACTCTAATTACGAGCAAGGTCGAAAGTTTTTTGACACAAAACCCGAGAATTTCCAATTAAAAATGTGTATATTTTAAATATATCTTCAAGCTTAACTTATGTGACTATTGACAAGAGTCAATTTGGGTCAAAAATGGTTGACCTGGGTCAAACTCGGGTTGCTATTTTTCGACCTGAGTCACAGCTCTACCCAAACCTATAATCAGAAACTCAAAAATATCATTCTTATTTTTAATAAACTCAAAATATAAAATTATTTTTGAATAAATTATAACATTATATAAATCATTTTTTTAATTATGTTTTTAGAAATTTTTCACTGTCTCATTTTGTTCTGGTTTTTTAAAAATCAATAAGTATTTGATGCCTTTTGATACTAACAATTTATTTAATTCTGTGATAATTTATCATTTCTATAATTAGTAGATAGGACATACTAATTACTTATTATTATTTGATATTGTATTCAGTTTTTAGTAAGTAAAAAAAAAAAAACTAATACTTGTAAAAGCAACCTTAATTGTTAGAATATAAACTCCAGAATTATACCTTTCATATTATATTTATGAATCATAACAACAAAAAGGACTGTATGCATGCAATAAATTGTTAGATACATTCTAGCCTAAATAGTGCTGGATATTTAAATTTTATTAAATTTTTTAAAGAGATATATAACATGCTTCAGTGCGATTAATATATATTGATACATAGTATATTTAATATAAAATTGAAAGAAATATATAGTACATTAATGCAATTAATGTATGCAAAAGTTTGGTATTTTTTTGTGTTTAGATGAGGTTTCAGGCTTCAAATGAGGTATTGGGTTTTGAGTAAATTTCAAGTTTTGGATAAGGTTTCAAAAGTTATTATCTGAACACCAAAACTTTCAGATTTGGCACAAAAGAGTTTTCAGCACCAACTTTTAAAGAATAAACAAATAATTTATTGATATTGGCAGTTTTGGGGTTTTAGTTGAGGTTTCAGGTTTCAATTGAGATTTCAGTTGAGGTTTCGAGTTTCAGTTGAGGTTTTGATTTTCAGATAAGGTTTCGGAAGCTATAATCTGAAACCCAAAACTTTCAGAAATGGCAAAAAAGGTTTCAGCACCATCTTTGGTTTAGTGATCTTTTAAGTGTTCTGAAAAATAGGTCTTAAATACTTTTTGAGCTTTACTATATATATAGTTGTGTTTTTTAATTTATATTGCTATACTACTTTTTTTAGCTTCTAATAAGCTAAATTACAAGATAATAGCTGATATGGTACGAATTTGTACCTATTTAGACATATGTACAAATTTATACCTGGCTTGAACAGGTACAATTTGTACCAAGGTTTGAATTTGAACCAAAGTATAAAACTCTGCTATTTGGTAGCAATATTCATTCCTTCCTAACTTCATAATAACTTTAACACTATTCTAATTACAAAAATATAGAAAAAAAATTTGTTTTGTGATCTTCCGAGCCTCGAGAATTTATTGGGGCGTCTAATATTATAATTAATCAAAGCTATGTAAGGTCAATCAATAAATATATAATAATAGATTTTCAAAAAGTTGTAGATCATTCGGAGTATCAAAGAGCAAATTTATATATAAATTAAAAAAAATCTTACGTAAAATGATTTAATAATTTTTTCTTGCATATTAATGTAAAAATTTTTTCTGTAATTTTGTTCATATTGCTACAATTATTATAAATAAAAAATTTGAACGAAAACTATCGAGCCAGTGAGTCTAAACATCTAATAAAGCCTCACTTTACGAATACTATTTGTATTATAGCTATCATATGATCTTAGACCAATTGAATTGCCGAATTTGTAGATTAGTATGAATTGACATTTGTATAACATCAAAAATTTGCACTTAGCGGATTTACAAATTTGTTAACATAGTTTTGATTAATTATGATATTAGACACCCCAAGAATTTATGGTAAATATGTTAAAGCAGGCCAAATATTAGATTAATGCCAGCCAGATGATATAATAATGCCAGCCAGATAATTTTATCTGGGATTATATTAAAATTCCGTGCGTGCCCATCTCTAGATCTGGAATATTAAATAATCAAATATCTTATCTTTTTCTTTTAAAACATAATAGCACTGTTGTAATATTTATAAAAATAATAAAATCGGATATTTTACTTGATAAAATCTTTTTAATAAAAGTGAGCTATTTGTTCTAGTATGCTGAGGATAAGTTTATTCGTGTTAATCAGTACAGTTAAATACCAGCATATCCTAAAATTAATTATTACTACATTGCTGATCGTACTGGTCTTGCGCAGCACTGCGTGCTGCGCAGCTATCTTATAATATATGTATTGTTACTTGTATTGTACTTTGTTATTTAGGTAAAGCGGGTGTTAGTTTCTCCCAGAGGGCCAGAAGGCTTTTATTTATAATTGTGAACTCAATTATTTAAATTGTAAGAATCATCTATATTACTAGTACCCAAATCGGCCTTATAGCCAAGAACACCCGTATTATTTGAATTCAGCATATCGCCACAATTATCCTAATTACCCAGATCCAGTCGTTCTGACTTTTCTGGGGTTTCTGCCAGATTGGGGTTTTCACCCGATCGGGGAAATCTAGCCGGTTAAGCCCAAATTTTAAGTACCCAAGGTCACGAGGGCAAGTGCCTCCATCAGGTCACGTTTCCGATGACATCCGCAGCTACCTTATTATTATTATTATTATATACAGTAGTGGTTATTTAGATCATTATGTCATGAAATCATTCGATTACTACATCCAATCAGCATCAAAATTTTGTGGACAAACGAACTGAATTTTTGTAAATGAAAAAACTTCCACAATGTACTTCGTAAACTGCCTGTACTTTGAATGTTTTCTATTTTTTTTTTGAGAATTTTTCTTTTGTTATTTGACAGAAATATATAATACAGTTGATTCTCTTTATACTGAACTAATATAAATTTTTAAATTTTTAGTTCATTATTTTTAAAGTTCATTATAAAAAGGGTCATTATAGAGACCTACTTAATATGCAAGTAGAGTATATTACAGTAATTTCGGATGTAAGGTTAACGAAGCTTATAAAATTTTAGGTTTAAAAATGAAATCCCTTTAACAATAAGGAAAATTGCTATTATTCTTTTTTTAAAGATACGATTTAGCGTAGTTTATAAGAAAAGCATTTTTCATTGAAAGAATTTTTTTTTAATAAACTATTAAAAATAATTTATAAACAATCATAAGTAAAAGAATACGAGTATTTCTTTGAATTCAAAACAACAGGGAACATAATTTTTTTAAAATAAAAAGAACATGATTCGAACAGAAATAACGTTAGAAATTATGTTTTTGTTCTATTAACACATAATTTTATTATCGTTATCATTAGAGTTTAATTGGCGCAAATTATTTGGCTCGATTATTGCGCACATTAAAGGATTGCAATTATCACCTTGTGTGATGTCACCTGTTGGAGAAATGACCATCAGGAAAATTATACGTACCCTATAGAGATGACTGCTGCAAAGTCGCAACTTTGCGTCTCTTTAGAATTAGTTGCAACCTTTGCAACCTTTGCGAACCCTCTTTTTGCTGCAAATATATATAGGATCGCAGAGTCACAAGTACAAAAGTCTATGTAATTATCATTATTTTTGTAATGTCGATTACTTGTGGTTTAAAATTTAGTTAATCATAAAATATAGTATATTATAATAATACGATATAAGATATATATTAGATTGCAATATTGCATCATTTATATTACAACGTTTCGTTATTAAATTTTGTGTATGATGACGTTTTTATAACTTGCGGCCTACCATCAAATTTTATATTTAATATAATACAACCCTAGTTGCGCTATAAAAAAGTCGCAATGAATATTTGCAGCAAGCAATACTACCTTGGCTTTTTCAAATATCTGGATTGCCTATTATAAATGCAAAGCGTGTATGCTCTTCAGAATTTTCTTACTAGTGATAAGACCCGGGGTCGGAATGTAAGAGACCCGGATCTTGTATACGGCGATTTACGGTAGTAGCCTACAAAAATTCTATATAGAATATGCCAATGTTCTTTGACCAAAGATCATGTTAAAAGACCCAATTTTTTTGGTTTCTTATTGTCACGGTGCGTTAGATGATTTTGTCTTTAAACTGTTAGTTTAAATATGTAAACAAGAAAACGAAAAACTTGAGATTTTAATCCTAGAATGTTACATCGTCATTATGCATACGTACTCGCACACATTTTGGAAGTCATTACGTCGTACATACGTATCTAAAGAGCAACGAAACATACTATATATAGTATATTTATGGTCCATTTAAATTAAAACATAACGTCATTTTTTTTCTAAATATAAGGTCATTATGCCAAACACACCTGTAATAAACTAAATTTAGAACGATTAGAATAATTAGGATAATAGCGGTGCAATTACATAATGTACATAAAATAACGTCATCTTATAAATAAATCGAATCTTCCAAGAGAACCGAACAATATCCATATTTAGCAGTTAAATCTGTTTTGGTATGGATTGTAATAATTTAGAATTCAAGTTCGGGTCTAAGAAAAATATAAATACAACAGGTAATTAGATTTGTTTATAATCGTATACAAAACAAACCAAAAAAAAACCCCCGATATTTAAAGCATAAAAACTTAAAAATTTAAAAATGAGCGAATACAAAACCAACTTTGTTAATCGAGCTTGCGTCTTTATTAATTCAGGAAACGATCCCATGATTCAAAATCAGGTGATTTATCAGCAACAACTTATCAAAATTCCATTCCCGCCTGAAATTAATTTCCAAGATTTGGTCATTTTACATCCTGATGGTCATGTTTCTAAAACTCCTAATGCTTTTATGATCTATCGAAAATTGTTTGTTGAAACAGCTCGTGCTGGTGGTTATAACTTTCCAATGAATGTCATCTCCTCAATGACATCTCGATCATGGGAACAAGAACCTGAAGAAGTAAAAAATGAATATAAGAGAATTGCAAAAGAAGCTTTCAATTATCGTAATGAATTATTTCCTAAAATAAAACTTCAGAGCAAGAAAGGCCAATGGAAAATTATTTCATTTGATAAACCTTCTACTCGTAAAGTTAAAAATTCCAAGACTATGAGATCTGTTAATAAATCTACAAAACATCAACAATTTGAACCCACATCTAAAATCCAGGTTATTCCTGATAAATCTCCCGAATTGTTTGATAATTAAAGTGATATAGATATGAACCAATTTTTGATCTTGATTTATTTACTTATTTGACTAAATTTTGGCCGAATTCTTTAACAATCCAAGTACCTATTCCAAGTCCTGACTTATCAATAACTCCAGTAACAATAATTTTCCTGGTTCAATTCAAGCAGACCAACAAATTAATGATGTTATTATAAATGATCTATTATCTATCAGCAAAAATCAATCCCCTATCTATGAAACTCAATATGGACTCGGAATTTTCTAATACTAATAAGTTTCCGAAATAAGTCCACATAATTTTTATATACAGAATATTTGCATTTTATATAACTTATGATCAATTATCTTCCTCATTTAACTTGTTAAATACAACAATAATCAAGAACATTTAAACGGTGCATTAACTGTTTTTGAGATGGGTTTTAATTATCTTATTTAAAGAAATTCATTTTAATTTATTTTAGAATACTTTAATATTTATGAAATTTAACGCATATGTGATTAAGCTTTGTAAATATTATATTTGTGCTTATGCATTTATGAGATATTTAATTTCCACGCAAACGATTATGAAAAAAAAATTAATATATAAAATAAGAATTATTTTAAATGTATAGGGATTTGACATGAAGTTTTGAATTTTTATTTATTTAAATACTTTTTGTTTATATTATAGTAATAAATTTACAAAAAAATACTTGCTTGCCAAACTTAAACTTAAATATTAATAATTATTTGAAGTCAATATTCAGTGTGTGCGCAACTAAGCATATTTTTATGATCTCAAGTACATAAGTTCACTCTACAACTAATTTGAATCTATTTTGGTTTTGCTGCCTGTTTAATCAAGTATTCTATATTACAAAATGGTTCATATATTGTATTATTTTATGATGACCACTGGCGATTGTCATACGCGTTATATATCTTAAAAATCTACTAAACAATTAGGATTGGGAATACTAAGTAAAAATATTCTGAACCCCAAAATCTTGTACGATTTAAAATTTGAGTTATTATATATAACCCTCTTATATATTCCAAACTGTAAATTTTAGCAGGAATTATTCTGATGTTAAACACCATTGGTGATTTGTAGTAATCAATAAAAATTAGACTAAAAAATATAAAAACAAATAAACCCATTAACCTATCGTTATGGTTTTAGTAATAATATTGATATTTATTTGTAATTAATATTTACAATCTATCCTTAATCTCATTGGTATAAATGAGTATTTATAGAATTTTTGGATGCCTTTGATCTATGTGCATAATAATATTAAATTAACGCTTTTTCAAAAAAATTATATAAACAGTATTTTTTTTCCTTCTTTTTAAATCATGCCTAAGCAGAAATATATGATAAATTTAATACACACGAAACCCAGGTTACTTTATCTGATACAAAATAAGACGTCTATTAACACCTCCTATAATCGTTAAATAATTTGTGGTCTCGGTAATTTCTTTCCTTATAATAACAAGTTGGGTCAAAATCCCAATGCATTCATCATTCATAAAGTGACTCTTAATCTTATATTTAAAGAAGTTAACAAATCCTATTCTCTTACAATTTTTCTATACTAAAGAGAATGATAAACATATAAAGCTTGCCTACAATATGTTAGCTCTGACATTAAATTAGAGAGCATAAAGAAGCTTCTATTTATTTTCTTACAAGATTATAAGATTAGAGACTTTTATTTCTGGTTAGTTAATTAGTGTCAATCAAGTAAATGCAGTAAATTTAAAAAGGTTGATATCAAAGAATTTTATATGATGACATGTTTATTTTGCGCATTTTTCAGATAACAATATTTTATCTACTCCAATAATTATGATTTTGATAACAATACATATTTTTTCTATGATAACTCTTCTTACTCTCCAGTCTTTATTGCTATCCCTAGCCTGACAAAATTTCATTTAATTTGTAAACATCCAAATGCGTTCAACCTTCCACGAATGTATCCTCATTGAAAACATAAACAAAATTGTGCATTTAGAGAAGATACATATTTATGGATAATATAAATAATGCGTGCATTTATAGTAGGATGACCGTAAAACTGCAAATATGTTAATTTCTCTTTCTCATTTCGACCATTCATATTCTATTTAACTACAGTATAGCACTTAATTTATTATTATTTCATTTATATATACGAATAATACATCATTGAAAAAAAGGAAATTAAAGTTTTTATAAAGCTATGTGATAAATATTTCAATAGTTCAATGTTCAGGGCTTAATGAAATTACTCATTAAAATACAGGTAAATCTAACCTATTTATTATGGATGGTGAGTACCAGTTACGCATAACTATAACCATAACCAATACTGAGATTTTATTGAATCATAACAGATGCCAGATTTTAATGCTCTAGCATAAATGCTTTATGATAATAAATGCTTTAATTCGGCACGAAATACACAAATAATTGCCCGGAGCGTAGCGGAGGACTCTCAATTTCTATGCAAAGTGATACCAAAATAAAGTTTTTGATGAAATATCAATAAAAATATCAAAAACGTAAATTGAATTTCTATATAATCGTCATTGCATATTTCTGTAAAAACCACATGCGACTTCTCTCCGGATTTAAAACGGTTTCAGTTTCCTAGTTATTTATATTACTGGTCATTATTGCATTCATTGGGTGTTCGGAATTAACGTTCACGGTAAATGTTTATCAAAAGAGCACATAGAAAATCTGGATAGGTTACGTTAACTCCGATTTCTGAATAAATTATTAAAAAATTTTTATCGTTATATCAATGTAAAATCTTTATTATTATTGATAAAAAAATAATTTCTGAAAATTTCAAATTATTATCCAAAACTGAAAGTTAAGATCTTTTCTTAAATATGGATAATATTCTGTTTACATGTAGTAAAAATAATATTGAAACATTTATGAAAAATGTGATAAAAACTGTTGAAAAGCTCACAGTATTTTAATATGAATTTTACGATTCTGTAATAAGATATAAACTCCAGTTCAAATATTTCTGTATAATAAATAAAATGACATTGACATATGGTAAAAAAAAAAAGAGTATTCACAAGCCGTTAAAAAATTTGCAAAATGTTAAATCTGTTCTATTTTCTTTTAAGTTATATTTCTGTAAAAATTTTAGACGTGTTTTCAAATTTTAAATGTACGTTTATTTATATCTTTAACGTTAATATAATCATTATTAATATTTGCAATCTGGATATTGTTTGATGTACGCACCTATCCCAGATTTTCTGTGCATCAAAAAAAGCTAATTTTAATTTTCTGATTCGGAATTTCAAAACAGAAATAGGACTTTTTTAACCCCACTTATTTTCGAAATAAATTAGCTTTTAACTTTGAATCACCCTATTATATGTATTTTAATCTAAAGCAGTGAATAATAAACTTGATTAGTACATTAATCCTACTTAGTGTTGCCACCAACATCAGGTACGTACTTACGTACGTATATTCTGTACGTACAAGGTTTAAATTTATTCAATAATAATAATTTTCTGTTCAAATTTCGGGATATGTATACGTAAATACATAAACTATATAGAATATGGTCCGGCGATCAGTTGACTAAACTTACGTTAATGCAGGCCGCTGATTAGATTATACCCAAATCCCGCGCAGGATAAGCACGTCACTGCATTGGGATCAACTTTATTTTTCGGTACGTAGTTACACTGGATTTGCTTTAAAGGACTCAAGTTTTGGGGTGATTTTTTTTATTTTCATAGAACAGTACATGATTTTATGTATTTAAACCGTCAGTTTAAGATATAAACTCATAATATCCAGTGGAAAAGAAAAAACGAAAAACTTGAGATTATTAATCCTAGAATGTTACATCGTCATCGTGGCGTACAACTTGTACACATTTTGTACACAATTTGGTTCATTGAAACTTTGAGTGGCTGACCGAAGTGTAACGAAACATACTATATATAGTATCTTTTGGTGTATTTAATTTATATAACATCACGTTTTTTTTCGAAATATATGAACATTATTCCAAGTACACCATTAACAGGTTAAATTTAGAACGATTAGAATAATTAGGATAATAGCGGTGCAATTACATAATATGCACAAAACAACGTCATCTTATAAATAAATCAAACCTTACAAGAGAGCCGAACAATATCCACATTTAGTAGTAAAAATCTGCTTATGGATTGTAACAATTTAGAAATCAAGTTCGGGTCTAAGAAAAATATAAATACAACGGGAATTAGATTTGTTCTAATCTTCAGTTCAGTATACAAAAAAAAGAAAACTGATATTTAAAGCATAAAAACTTCTAACTAGTAAAAAATTCAAACATGAGCGAATACAAAACCAACTTCGTTAATCGAGCTTGCGTCTTTATAAACTCAGGAAACGATCACATGATTCAAAATCAGGTGATCGATGATCCACAACAACTTATCAAAATTCCATTCCCACCAGAAATTAATTCCCAAGATTTGGTTATTTTACATCCTGATGGTCATGTTTCTAAAACTCCTAATGCTTTTATGATCTATCGAAAACTGTTTGTTGAAACAGCTCGTAAAGGCGGTTATAACTTACCAATGAATGTCATCTCCTCAATGACATCTCGATCATGGGAACAAGAACCTGAAGAAGTAAAAAATGAATATAGGAGAATTGCAAAAGAAGCTTTCAATTATCGTAATGAATTATTTCCTAAAATAAAACCGCAGAGCAAGAAAGATCAATGGAAAATTATTTCATTTGATAAACCTTCTCGTAAAATTAAAAATCCCAAACCTATGAGATCTTCAAATAAACCCACAAAACGAAAACATCAATTTAAATCCACATCTAAAATTCAAGTTATCTCTGATAAATCACCCGAATTGTTTGATAATTTAAGTGATATCGACATGAACTCACCAATTTTTGACCCAGATTTATTTACTGATTGGGCTGAATTTTTTAACAATCTAAGTACATATCAAAGCCTCGACCTATCAATAACTTCTAGCAACAATAGTTCAAACGATTTTGATTTGCCTATTCAAGCAGATCAACAAATTAATGATGATATCGTAAATAGTCTTTTATCTATTAGTGAAAATCAGCCCCCGATCTATGATACTCAATATGGACTCGGAATTTTTGATCACTCTAACACTAATCAAATTTCCGAAATAAATCCACATAATATAGATGGAATACATGAAATCTTTGATATACAGAACACTTGCATTTTAGACAATTTAGTCAATTCCAATTATCAATTTTCTTTCTCGCCTAATTTATTAAATACAACAATAAATCAAGATTATTTAAACGATGCATTAATTGCTTTTGAAATGGGTTTTAATTATCCCATTTAAAAAATTTTTAAATTTATTTTAGATACTTTAATATTTATGAAATTTTAAAACATATGTCGATTAAGCAATGTACAGTAAATACTATATTTATGCATCTATGCCATTTTACTTTTTTTACGATATATTTAATTCCTATGCAAACAATTATGAAAAAAATGATATAAAATAAGAATTATGAAAAAAAAATTACAAATGTATATATACGAAATTTTTTATTTTTACTTATATAGATTTATTTGTTTTTATTCTATTAATACGTTTATAATAAATTTATTTTTTGAAAAAAAAAACCAATTTACACCTATATTAATGATTATTTGGAGATTGACTGAGTAGTGATATTTTTATGTGCGCACAGTAAGCATAATTTTCCATCTATCCACTTACAACAAGTCTTCACCTGTACTTAATACTTATAGTCTCAAGTGCGTAAGTTCATCCTATGGCTAAATTTGAATCCACTTTTGATTTTGCTGCCTGCTTAATCATATATTGTACATTGAAAAAAATTTCATATACAGTTTTATTTTACAGTTTTACACTAGAGTAGAATCTGAATTACGAAACATTTTGCTGCTTGATTTTAACTAAGGTGTGATAAAATAATAATATTAATTACTTTTCGGCTGATATTTATACATATATGCTACTTTTAGCGTCTATTAGATTTCTGATTCGGACTAATCAGGAGTTTTTATATTTCTTTTAATTATACATCTTTTCTTACTTTTTTTAGCGACAATGAATTTTTTTAATCGTAGAATTGATAATAAGTAAAATTGCTAAAAAAAACGAAAGAAGCCCTGTGATATAAAGTGAAAGAAGTTTTTTTTGTTATAAAGAGACTAAACTTTATAAAATACACAACTTTAAATTTAAAGGTATTATAGTAGTATAATAAGAACCGGGTAATAAATCAGCTATTATTCGTGAGGAATATCTAGCTCAGGTCAGATGATCGAACAATGCTTCGCATTTTGTAGCCGTCTGTGATTATTCGATCATCTGATTTGATTTGATTCTTGTTATTATTCACGAATTGGACAGTAACATATTTTTATAAAAAGAGTACATATCCAACAATGTTCCAATAACTTATTTACTAACAATCCAGTTTTAAAATAATAATTTCCTAATTAAATTTTAACATTGTCCTAACTTTCAGACATGACCATGTGTCTGGATTAGTGATGCAGTAGAATCTTCCCAATGATGTTACAGCTTAAGCTGTAACTAGCTAAAGCTTATTTCGTAACTAATTACAGTAATCATTGGGATGATTTTACTACATCACTAGTCTGAGTATCAGTGTCTGAAATTCTAAATTAGCTGCGGATCGCAATCAATAAAAAAAAAAAGCGACTTGCGAATTATAAATATTTATAAAAATTTAGTTGCGCACATGAACATTTAATCGAAATTTATCGTTATAGGTAAAAATTTTAAAATTTGCAAATTTATATGCGGAATCCGCATGTGCACTTCAGATTTTGGTTAAAATTTTGTTGTGGCCCACAGACTCCGCAACCCAATTTCAGACACTGCTGAACACCTTATAATAAATATAAGGATAATTTATATTTATAAAAGATTAAAGAATAATAAAAGTGATAAGTTAGCTAATTTTATTTATTTATTTTTTAATTACATGATATACACGATATTCAAATCTAATCTTTTCAGGTAATTTTTGTGTTAAATAAATTTATAATTACAATAATTTAATGCTAAATCTGGACCTATTTTTAATATGAAATTTTAAACTTTTGTATGCTAGATTGGTGGTTAGAGCTGTTTATAGAAAATCTTTTTTTAGTAGAGTTTGTATCTTCAAATAGAGATCTCTTTCAGTATCAATTTAATCAGTCGCGACAACGAGTATTCATTATAACACGGCCACTATATTATAAATCTCTTTCTTTTTATTTCGTCATCCATGCTTGTTATTACACGACCGTTATTGATCATTAGCATTAAACCATTTATGTTATAAATCACTTTCTTTTAATTTCGTCATCCGTGCTTGCTATTACACGATGCAAACGTCATCCATACTTATTATTGCACTATACGAATTAAAGTAGTTAAACAAAACATAGATAGTATAATATGACTGCCGTACTATAATATCAATATAGCATGATAATTCTGAGACACATCACATTTGTTATTACACGACCATTATAAATAACATAAACTGTATAATTTATGATCAATGACCGCTGTATTATAATATCAATCGCATGATAATTCTGAGATACATCACATTGATACAGCGATAATTTTTTAATTTTTCAGAAAATGCCGCTTCGCGACATTCTCTGATCCAAATATTATCATACTATATTATTCTTATAATTATATTACCGACCAAATAAGCATGAATCAGATAAGTTGCTTATTAATTCAAATTGCTGATTTTATACATAACGATAAATTAACGTTAATGAGTGACATTTATGCTTACCAGTTCTGGTAGATTTTGCCGAAAGTTTTCTGCCGGCAATTAAGATTTCCTGCATGTACATATTTTTAGGAAATATACATATATATATATATATAATTTATTAGAGTTACAGGACTCTTTACCAAAAAGAGACCTTTAACTTTTTAAATTATTTGTAGCAGATTGATTATATGTAATGTTACAATATCCTTTTATTTTTTTAAAAAAAAACAACTTTAAATTAGTGATTGGACTATTGAACGATCATACTAGTATTTTTCTTTCGTCGTACATTGTAAATCCCGTCCCGATTTGGTTAATATGGTAAAGGTTTTGAGTTTGGGAAGCGAAGAGTTGGGTTTCGGTGATAGGAAATGGATTTTCATCGGGACTTAAGCTACAAATAAAATATGGTTTCTCGTTTTATTGACATTATAGTTCTTCATAAGCGATGTAAAAAGTATAAAGCAATGCCTTTTCGTGTTTCAATAAAGCCCAAGTTTCGATGTCTTTATAAAGTCAAAACCGATACTGTTAAAACCGATAACCTTCCATATTCGGTAAAAAAAAATCGATCCACCAAGCTTGTTCCCTGTTCTGTTAGTCTTAATATTCTTATTCCTCAATTTTTAAATAAGACATGTGCCTATTATGGGTTCATTTGAACCCAAACTTAATTAATTCGCTCATGGTAACACCACTCATAACGATCATCCAATCAAATAATAACACATGTACGTATATAAATATAAATAAATTTTAAAATTAGTAACTGATGATTTCACAAGAAACAGGTGATCAATATCATAAATTATATGGATTATCACATGAAATGTTTGGTGATGCACGTATTTAATTTATGCAGGTCTTTTTCACACCAAAAATATTTAATATATACTGTATAACCATATAAAGTCTGTTTTTCTTTAATTTTTTTAAAAATTTTTTTTTCTTAAAGTTTATTACAACCCAGAACAATAAATACTTAAACATGTGTTTCGTAAGTATTATTATGATAAATATATTTTTGAATAGTCTAAATTAAATATATTCTAATTCTCTATTTCGATTCACTGTTCATAGAAAGTTGTTTGTCAAACCTGCAATAAATATACATGGGCCGGATGTGGAAGGCACGCAGACTCTGGTATATAATTGTTTATATAACTTTTATATCATGTAACATTTTAATATAATTTTCTATTATTTAAAGTTATGAGCCAAATACCTAAAGAAGACCAATGCGTTTGTAAGAAGGATACACCAAAAGTCGATAATAACTCTACTGATATTAAGGTTGTTGCTCTAGTTATTGGAGTGTTCGTTACAACTTATTGGTGGTTGTATTGGTGACATTATCACAAAAATCTATTTGAAATTTTGTAATAAGCTTTTTTCTTTTTTCATACAATCAGGACGTTACCGAGCAAGAACAACAAAAATAATTATTTGTATACTCATACTGTCCGAAATGCGTATATATATATAACAACATATTTTACTGTATTTTTTTTTTTCAACCATTGTCAGAATATAAATATTTAATAAATAATTTGGTTTCGCTCGTTAAAAGAAACCAAAACAAATCTAATCAAAGAATTCTAAGTCTGTAAGTATTCTACAACAATCTGCTGTCGTAAAGACCAGATAATTATTGTTCGTTTGTTAAATACAGTAAATAAAAATGCAGCAAGCATTATTAATAGTGATTGATTTAGTATTAGTCAATTTTATTGTCTTAGATGATTAAGTCAACCGATTTTTCAAGAACCAACTTGGGCGTTATCAGATACCACCTTTAATGGGTTAGACAATGAATTGCTGGCTATTCGTTTGCCATGGCCACTTGATATGTTCTTGAATCTTTTTAATGAGGAATTGAAAACGTCCTTAAAAGATCACATATAAACGAAAATATACATCTTTTCCAATCTTTCCCGTTATAGCATATTAATTGACTCACGATAATTCTATTACTGCCGACAATCCAATTAAATATAGATATTTAACTTATCAAGACCTAACTCTAGAAAAATAAAGTTTATCACGCAACTGCGCATATAATATATTAAACATGAAATTCCTCATATCTCTGCTAGACATAGTCAATGTACGTACGTACATGAATGCGCATTCACGCACATATCACATCAAGATTTTGTATAGAAAAAAAACAAATTTCTTATACATGTTGTCTTATTTATTTAAAATATAGACACATCGGCGGATCTACGTAATTACTATTAAAATTTTTAAAATATTTGACAAAGAATAGCTTTTGACCCACTGGTTCATTTTAGATGATTTTACCATCAAAATGACCGTCTCAGTGTGACAATTCTAAAGATCCCAAAATCATCAAAATACAATCACTGAATCCTGAGAACACTAATGTTTTGTTTATATCGGGTAAAATAGGATGGGTTTAACCCATCCTATTTTACCCGATGGAAACAACACGGTAATTTCTCTGGATTCAGTGTTTGGATTTTGATGATTTTTGGCTCTTTAGAATTGTCACGCTGAGACGGTCATTTTGATGAACTAGTGGGTCAAAAGCTATTCTTTGTAAAATATTTTAACATTTTTAATAGTAATTACGTAGATTCGCCGATATGAATATTAAATATTATAAAAGAAGTTTGCTTTTGTTATCTTAATGAGCCTTTTTTATTTTTTATTTTTTCAATAATGTATTGTTTTGAAAATGTGCATTTTCTCCATCTCTATTCAGTCTGTACAGAAATCAATATTCTAGACGAGTGTGCGAAGTGGATCTATATTATATATTATTTATAAATATAATTTTGTTAGGCATAATGAATGATACAATTCAGCATGTATGTTTAATGGTTAATAAATCTAATATTAGATTTCCCGACATATCTTGGCATATATAGATAATATTTTTTTTGTTAATTATTATATTTATTTTTATATAGGTTAGGTATGCATGTGTTTAATAAGATACTTACTCAAAAACAATCAGGTTATAGAAAACTTCTAGAACATCTTTGTAGTTCAATATAACATGCTGAGCACTTGCAAAAAACCATTGAATGGAATAATTCTAAAGTATTTTAAAATATTAAATACTGAGAATAAAAGTGATTTTTTGATTAGAGATTATAAGCCTAATAATGAATTGCTTATGAATTTACTCATAAATTTGTACCTGATTGTAATCTGATACTTATAAATTTTTGTATATATGTATCTAATTGTGATCTAATTACCTATATAAATTTAATAATTACTGTGTTTCAACTGGATTCTCTTGAATTTACTTAAAATAATATCTAATATACTAAATTAATGTGATATTAAGGCATAATGTAAATATAATGTTTATCTACAAGGTTAAATATCTTATTTTAAAATGTGTATTGGTTAGTAAAAACTATCTATTGTTATACTCACTAATCTTCCTACTTATAATATACTAATTTCTGTCACATTTGAAAAAAGTAATGTGCCCATGAAATACTCATGCATAAGCAGGAGTATTTCATGGGGTGTGTACATTATTTCAAATAGTAACAGAAATTAGTGTATTATAAGTAACTCTATTAATTGAAAATTTTAAAGTCTGCCTTAGTGGCAGGGTCATGTAACTTTTGCCATTTCACATTTCTGCAAAATTGGCAAAATTCAAACTCTACCAAGTGGCAAAAGTAATGTGATCTATGTAATATAACAGCTTAATTTGAAAAAATAAATAAATATAATGATTTAAAAAAAGAAATATAATCAAAATAACTCACAGTGATTATTACCACTCCTAGATATATTTGGGGTTAGGGTTAGAAATTAGTAAATTATAGAGCTACTATGAGGGTCTAATAGGAACTAATTTTAGTTTTTATAAGATTTTTGAAGTTCTGAACATTTTTACTTAGAAGATCCAATTTTGTTTACTTAGTATATTTTTGAGATATAAGCACCCTGGTAATTATCACCACTGGTTATAGTTAGATTTATTTTAAAAAAATAAAAAATAAAAATAAAGAAAAAATGATAAGGCTATACAAAGTTAATTTTTTTGTTTTGCATTACTCACTGATCTATTTTTTTCAAATTTTCAAATTTTTTAAGTTTTAATTCTGCCAATTGTACTATTTTTGCATTTGATTTTTTTTACAGTATTACCTAATAGAGACTTTATTTTTTGGAATTGTTTAATAAAACTAATTACAGTATATTAAAAAATAAAAATCCAACTAACCAAATATTGATTTTGAAATTTATATAATGCAAAATAAAAAATTAAATTAGCATGGTCTAATTTAAAAAAATAAAAATAAAAATAGTTTTAAAAAAAAGAAAAAAAATGATACATAAAAAAAAAAAAGAAATTTTAATAAAAACTATAATTTAAAAAAACAACCAAAAAAACATTAAAACTTTTGATCTACCTAACCAATTTAGACGATTTAACTACCAAAATGATGGTATCTTCAAGACACTTCTAATGAATCCAAAATCATCTGATTCTGATCACATGATCAAAAACACCATCAAGATTTATTTTTCAAACTATCTATATTTTTTTATTAAATTTTTCATTATTTCATTTTACTTTTAGTATTTATACTTTAAACTAACTATGATTCAACAAAAATTTCCTCACTATAAGCTTTCTAGTAACATGCTTGATTGGTTTCAAGCATTTTCAATCAATCCAGAAGCCCAAAATTTAACACAATTCCCAACTTCTCTTGGAATTAATATTTTAAATTTT